AATAAAACGTAATTTTCCAACAACAAAAATATGGCTAGTGAAAATGCTGCATGGCTAATGTGGCTATGTCAAGCCCTGGCCCCGACCCTTCGGTCTCACTCACACACACCACAGTGCAACTGACAGCTGGAAAACGAGCTACAACAGAAAATGGAAAAGCAGAGTTTGAAAATGTTAACGGGTTGGGCTGAAAAGCTCAGAGACCAAAGAGTCAAAAGTCATGACTGAAATGCAAGTAAATGTCAAAAAGTAACCGACTCGTTCCGTAGTTCTAGTACCAGGGCCACAGACGCTGACCGGGAAGAGGAAGATGCCACAGCCCTGTTCATGAATGAAAGATTAGACAGAGAGGACAGCGAAGCCAGAGATAGTGCAGCTGAACGGTAGATGTGCGTCTAAATGTGTTAATACAACATGGTATCAGTGAAATGCAAAGCCGTTGGTCAGCTATAGTGTTTTGTAAATGTACCAGCAGGAAGAAAGAACTGAGGTAAAGAGTACTGTGTGCTTGAACAGGCTAGTGGTTAAACTAAAATTTGATACTTAACTTTTTTTCGTAAAGCTCAGAATGTCTACATTTGGCTGTCCTGTGGGGATTTTGTGGGAAATAAATCACTTCAGTATCAGTGATTTACTGTTGTGTAATTTTATTTAGCTAAAATAAGCAAAATAAGGACCATGTCATGGTAGAGACAAGGAATAAGTGGATATGTTAATAGTACATTTCATTTAAGTGTTATGTGAGAACTCAGTTAAAAATTATTACAATGTCATTTGATAACTTTGGTTAAAACAATTTACATTTCATGTGGTAATTTAGTTAAAAATATAATTTAGAATGCATTAAGAAGTTACTCATGGTGACTGTGGTCCTGAATCTGAGCGCATGAATATTGAAATGTATGTTTTTTTATATACATTGTTAAAAAAGTAATTCAGTACAGACAAGTGAAGGCCAGAGCTGCCTCTGTGTGTTTCTTCAACCTTCTCCCCTTACTTTTCCCCTTTTTAAGGGCACAACATAAACGGCGGGTAAAGCCCTATGGTAAAGCCACACAGTATTATTTATTATGTTGCCATTCATTCACTTAATATGAAATAGTGGTGCTGCTGCTGTGTTTTTGTAGTATTTCAAAAAATTTGCCTTTATTAATTAATTTATATAATTTTATTTGTATCCAGGGTGATGATAGGTGCTGCTCTCTTAGGTTACGTTCTATGTTTGGAGAGATGTTCTACCAGTTTTTTATTATGTGTACTCCCATGACTTAAAGCCAACCAGCTGACCCTAAGCAGCAGTTAGACAGTTCTGTCTCAGGGAGGATTGCGGATATTTTAGTCTTTTTATTTCAAGGCTTCATGTGATGTGAGGCAGTTCACTCATGACAATTTCAGTGTGTTCTGCTTTAAAGTAGTACTGCCATAGTGATTACTGGCTGTGATGCTGCTAGGTAGTTAGCATATTAGAGGCTGCTCCTGTTTGTACGTGCGTGCATTAATAAGGCGGCCGTGGTGGAGTATAAGGTGGACCGTTCTGGTGGGCTGGTCAAGTCCAGGGTCCCTGCCTCATCATCTGAAGACACATTACTTTTAAAAAATGTGACTAATGAATCTGTTTTCTCTAACAGAAAAAAAAAATTACCATGAAGAGAACATGGGAGCAAATTCCATCAGTGTTGAAGTCCTCTTTTTATTCTAAGAAATACGTCGACTGTTATGTCATAGATTAATATTTCATTAAAGTGTTTCTTTTGATTGAAGTGTTTATAACTTGTGTGTTCATTAGTGTTATTATTGTAAATAAGTTTGGTTGAACAATACATCAGTTTAGTTTCATTTTGCATTTGTTGGAAATATTAATTCCTTTTTAATGAAAATGAGTTTAGTCAAACCAAATTGAATGTGACATACTGTAGATTACTTGCTGAAAAAGTTTTTTAAAACTTTGCATCAGTACAAACCCAGAAAGTGGTGAGGAGGGAGTGATCACAGCAACCAAGCAATACAGATTAAAGTCTACCAAGAGACTTGGAAAAACATTTTTAAAAATCGGCTTTAGGAAAATATGTAAAGCTGATTCAGCTAGTTGGACTTTGAGATTAAATCCTTATTTTAAACACTGTACTTGACATAGCAATTTTTCTACCCTTTAAAAACAGCCATGCATATTAAAAACCAAATGTAAGCAATTGTTAAATAATTCAACAAATAGAAAAACAAATCTTGTAAGAAATTAAATGAATCTGATTAAAGAAATCAGCTACTGTTACTTACGGTAAGAATACACACATTTGTTTCACCTCCTTGTGATAACTTGTTAGTTTGCGGAGCATCATTTTGTCATTAATTGTTTCCATCCTGTCCTTTTCCATTATATTGGCAATTTAACACCCCGTAAAATACATGTTCCCTGACAGCTTGACATTTTCTGTCGATGCAGTTTATGCCGTTCAAGCTTTCTGTGGAGTTCCATCTATTTTAGATGAATGTTATATCGAACCATTTTTTGCTGACTCTTCCACTTTGCGCTCAATCTACCATGGCAACAGGCCAACTCCTCAAAGCAAACATCTATGATATTTACTTTGAAAAGCGACCCTTTCCTTCCTGACTTATAGGCCAAAAGATCAGGCTTCATTTCAGACATACGCCACAACAGGGTTAAATTATAGTGTTCCCTCCTTCCCCGGTGAGAGGCAAAGTAAGTGGCAGAAAGGAAAGTGTGTATGTGGGTGCGTGAAGTACACATCTGCTGACACAGTAGGAATATGTCGGAAATCTCTGTCATTACCATTTACATATACATTGGCACATCACATTCCTCCTCATCCCCCTCTCTCTCCCTCCTCTTCTGTTGCTCTCTCTATCTTCCCTCCACTCATTGACTGTGTTAGGTTTTCCTGTAAAATATAATCCAGAAAACTGAATTTGCCACAACAGATGGAGCGGAAAATGGATTTGCATCCAGCCACACACTGTTAAGTGGAAGTACCTTTTCCTGCTCCCCACCACTAACTCAAGGTTTGTGGAAAAGGGCTCCAGCAGTATATGATAATCACTGGTATTTTCAGATTCCTCTCACTTTGGTCACATCTAATGCTGTTTTTGCTCAGTTTGTGCTTATCGACCCTTTTCCATACCACCCGCTGTGTTTATTATTATTTTTCTATACATAAAACATCACATCCCAACGCCCTGTTAGGGACCTTCTCATTTCGATAACACCTCAAAGGAGCCAATATGAGGGCTAGGCATCTTGAAGATTGGTTTTGGATCAAACCTTGAAGCCCACTGTGTTAGGCAGCATCATTATTTCACCAAAAAGGGGGATTTAAAAAGTTGAATCAGGTTAAAAGGAAGTCAGAGTGAGAAAATAAGTGGAGAGACTGTGAGAATGACACTGAGATATGAAGACAAGGGTAACAGAAGTAGAAAGAAGCCAGTGGCGAGAGGGGGCTTTCTCTTTGTGTTTTTCAGTTTGGTTTGTGCATGCAAGCAGAATTCCCATAGCTAGGTAGCTTTTTGTTTCCACTGTGTCCTGCTATGTTCTGAGAGATATCAGCCAACACAGGGTCAGAGCGCTGCAGCTCTTTGTTCCCTGTGCAAGAAGATTTCCCAAATCCCTGAAATGAACACTCGTGTAGGGGATGAACTCCACAGATGATTCAAGACTCACAACCATATCTACACACAGAAACACACACACACTCAGTGCACTCTGTGGACACAACAAATTTCATTCTTTGTTGAGCTGGCACAGTTTGACACATATCAGAAATTATTTTTCTCTTAACTACACCCCAGGAGCTGTATACTGTGTTTTTTGTGAGCAGCTCATGCTGACAAAGATCGCTGTGTCCAGAAATGAGACTGAAATAGAAAGTGATAGCCAGGTTGTGCTGTAAAGAAAATGTCAGCAGTGTGTATTGTTAGTTTTTACTTCATTACCCACAGTTTGATTCATCCTCAACGATCTGAGCCATTTGGTAGCTGCTGCTGGGTTTGAGAAAATGACAGAGGGGAAAAAAGATTTTACCAGCAGTGTTGTGAAAGGAAATTGAGTCCAGTTTGGAAATGCTTTCCCATGCTCATGTATTTTTAGTCTTTGTCGTGTTCACACAGTGTCGACCTGGAATGAAGTGCAGACTTTGTCTCTCGGTCCAAGTCTGATAGCAGAGTGCCTTCACATTCAGCACCCAGAGGCTCAGTAACTTCCTCTGCTTGGGAACAGACATGTTGAAGCCCATTACGTCTCTGTGGTTTCTCATTTTTTTTGCCTCAGAACTCATGTGGTTCCTTTTTGTTTTTCTCTGGAATAAAGATTAGAGATAATCATGATCACTCATACACAAACTATTATCCTCCTCAAAATTAATAAATGAAAGTTCAAAAGGTGGTGACTCTTCATTTTCACTTGTTTACTCCCTGACTGTCTTCACTAGAGCTGCAATGATTGATTGATTAGTTGTCAACCAATGGAAGTCAGTCGCCAACTATTTTGATAATCAGTTTGAGATTGTTGTTTTTTTTAAAATAAATGTCAAAATTCTCTGATTCTTTAATTCTCTACAGCTTCTGAAATGTGAATATTTTCTGGTTTCTTTACTCTATGACAGTAAACTTAATATCTTTGGTTTGAGGGCACAGAAAGACATTTGAGGATGTCATCTTATGATTTGGGAAACACTGATCGACATTTTCTGACATTTTCTGAACAAAACAACTAATTGATTAATCTACAATGAAAATAAGAAGCCTTTTAATTCACACTGTTTTTGTTTATCTATCTTAGCTTTAATTTGCTCCTGACGAACAAAATTAATGAGATTAAAAGTACTGCCTTCATTTTGGGCACAAAAGGAGAATAAATATGTTTTGATGACACATTCTCACAAATTGTGCACAGAATGAGAAATCCTCTGACATGGTTCCCTGCCAAAGATAGGACATATTGTACGTAACACTAGAATATTTATGCATCTCTTTCCTTGTCTTTTTAGGGGAGATTTGTGCCTTTAAGATCTATGGTCAGGATGCTCCATTCGAGGCAGTGGTGTTGAATCGCACATCAGGGGAAGGAGTCCTGAGGGCCAGTAGCCCTGTGGACTGTGAGAGCCAGAAGGAGTACACATTTATAATCCAGGCCTACGACTGTGGTTCTGAACCCAGCGGGGCCGACTGGAAGAAATCCCACAAGTGAGTCAACCAATGTCTGTTCATGTTACCATGTATTGGTGGGTTTACAAAATAACAACAAATACAGTTTAATACACTTGTCCTGCTACAAGTTCTTCCTTTCTGAAGCTTTTCAATTTGATTTTAGAGGATGTCTGAGAAAGGTTCTTTTACCTCTTTAATAACGTTGTAGTTTGATGAAAGCAAATAATCCTTGCCTGTCAGTCAGTCTGTTAGCCACTGTTTCTTTTTCAGGATTTGGCACATGTTCTCACATTTTGTGACTCAACCAACTCTTCAGCCACTTTTCATCTGGCCTGTTTGTATCTCTGAGATTTTCTTTATGTTGCCTAAAAGTAAATGGTGATTGTCAGACCCTGTGTTAAAGCTGTCACATACTGATAATTATTATTTATCTTAGCGTGGTTCGCTTGTTTAGCTGTCAAAGTAGTTCTGATTTGAAATGGGCAGAAAAAATAACAGAAACGTGACATACAAACAAATATTAACTTCAAAGTACATCTGAACATATGGACAACATGGGATAATGTCATGAAAACAAACAGGAAGACAGCAGGATGTTTGCTCAACATTGCTAGAAAATGCAAAAAGTTGAGCACCTAACACCTATCTGCCAGTGTTAATCAAAACACAACATTGTAATTACTAAACAGCACATTATTGTGCTAGACTGCATTATACTGATATTGGTGTATTTCCAACCCACTTTGTGCAAATGAATATTTGATTGACTGAAATCTAATTTGCAAAAATGCTACGTGACGCTTGATCATATTCTTGTGTAATTGTCAAGCGCGACTCAAAAGTATCTGTCTCACTGCTGGCAGAGGTGCTAAGAGGTTTCAGCACCCTGAAAGATAGAAGACTAGGATGAAGTGTGCATTGAAAATTGTGTTTACTGTATGCTTTTTTGTTTGCGATTTGGGATCCCCATTACCTAGTCCCTCTGTAGCTTTTCTTGGTGTCAATAAATCGAGAAAAGGCTCAATATATGACAGGCAGACATACAGTAGAACTATATCTCTTATTAGATATTCCAAACAACAAGGCAACCCTTTAAATTAATATATAAGTAAAAATACCAACATGCCAGTTGTTATTTTGTAGGTGTTTACTAGAATAATAAGAAAGTTTATGTTTTTACTCGTAGCTCAAGTGATTAAAGAAAAATAACTTAAATAATTCACTATAAATAGATGTTGTTTGATGTTTTGTAAGGTTTTTTCCCCAAGATCTCTCAGTATGTCTGCAGTGACAGCTGAGACTTGCAGTTCTGTTCTCAGGATATGTACCCCTAATGGCCCATCATTATTGTGTGTGTGTGCGTGTGTGTGTGTGTGTGTGCGTGTGGGGGGGGGGGGGGGGGGGGTGCTATGTGAATGAGATTGACAGACAGGCAGACTGGCACGGACAGCAGCAAATCAAACCCTCCCTCAGTCAGCTGCTAAAATAAACTGCAGCAGGCTAGTTTGTAAAAGAAGAAAAGAGAGAAATTTATCAGCTCAGGGATCTGCAATGAATTTCACCGGTAGATGATGAATGACACTGTGTGTGTGTGACATTATCACTGCATGACATTTTAAATAGGCCTCATTAAGCTAATGTCATTAATTAGCCAGATGTGCTTCTTCAGTTTCACCGCGAGTTGTTGTCAGAGAAGGTCACCAGTGAAGAAAACTTCATAATACATCTAAATGATTGCTTCATTTATATACTTATGTGCACAAATGTTAGTGCCTAGTTAATATCTTCACCCGCCCTCCCCCTTCCAGCAGATGAGATCATGTGTTTGTGTGTATCTGATGAAGAAAGAACAAGAGATAGAAAAATTTTTACCTTGAAAAGCAATCTGGCTGTGGATGTGCCTGTTTCAGTGGGCAAACCTGTTAAATAACAGTTTGATTAACATTAGATAAAAATGGGAACATTTCACAAATACCAATAAACAAGAACTTGTATGTGGTACCGTTTTAATTAACTCTTCCCAATTGTGTTTTTCAGAAATAAATTTGTTTTCCCTACAAGCATATGAACTGTTTTCCTCTCACTCTCCTCTGCCTTTAATCAAGCACTGTTCTTAATGTTAACAGTGAAATACTTTAGATCTTAATTAATTTCAAATCATCTCTGACTTATAGAGATTTTTCTTCTCTTCTTTCCCCCATCCATCTCTTCTTTCCATGTGTCCTTTCTTTTCCTTTTCACCATCAATCATTTCTACTCCACTTTCTTTGCGCCAATCTGTCTCTTTTTTCCTGCTGTGCTCCCTCCATCCCTCCCTGCCTCCCTGCCTCCCTGCCTCCCTGCTCCCTCTTTCTTTCATTCCTTTCCTCCATTCAGGGCAGTGGTTCACATCCAGGTGGACGATGTCAATGAGTTCTGCCCTGTGTTTCGGGAGCCACTGTACAAGGCATCGGTAACAGAAGGCAAGATCTACGACAGCATTTTGCAGGTATATAGATATTATATTTTAAATGTTAATATTAGTTAGTTAGCTCTCTTACCTTTCATACCATTGTTTTATTGTTAGAATCAAACTGAGAGAAATATGTGTAGGTTAAGGTGACGAAAAATTATTCAGTTAAACATTTGGGATATTGTAATTGTCTATAGTGTTGTTAGTGTTGTTGTCAGCAGGTTGTTGAAGAACTGGGAGGAAACTGGATGTTGTAATGTTGCAGGTGGAAGCTTGGGACCAAGACTGTTCACCCCAGTACAGCCAGATCTGCAACTATGAAATTGTCACTGGAGGGACGCCATTTGCCATAGACCGCAATGGTAAGTGTGTGCGACAGTGTGTGTGTGTTTATGTGTGTGTTTGATTCTGGACCGTAGTTGTAATTGCTGATGTGATTAGAATTGATGTACGTGTCTGAGAGAGAGCGGCAGAAACTAGGATAGCACAGCGAGGGACGGTTTGTGTGCCTAGAGGCTTTATATGCTGGGCATTTTAATTTAATTTCATTACATTGAAGGGCCATTATTTGTGTGACAAGTACACAAAGTTGGACAGTAGGTCAAAAACACTTGACCATGCTAGTTTGTGTTTTTTTTGTTTTTTTTTACATACATACATGATTTTTTTACATAACCAAAAACTTAGCTTTTACCAAAATAAATAACCTTCTTCTTTACCAAACCGGAAACAAATATACTCAAAAACTGTAAATAAAGAAATGCACTGTTTAGTAACCTTTAGCAATTAAAGCCGTCCTTTTTTTTTAGGCCAAGACAAGACATTCTGTAATTGTTTGAGGAAAACAAAATTGAGAACACATTCAATATAGCTATTTTTTTGCTAATGTGGAATTTTACTTATATTATTGGTATTTGTATGACATCAATAAAAGTACTAAAGTACTATATTATTAGTAATTAATTTTTCAGAAGACCCGCCCAAAACAAAACCTAAACAGCTACTTAATGGACCAACTGAAGCAAAAACGGGCAATGGCTGTTATTTGAAGGATCGCTTACGTAACCATTTGGGCTAAAACTCATTTGAGCCTTACTTGAGACACGTGGCAAGAAACGAATACACTAATAGCAGTGCTTGCTTCGCATGAACACAAACAGCATGGTAAATGTCTGGATGAAAGCAAAAAGCCATTCTTCGGCTGTATTTGCATATGTTCTTTCTATGATCACAGCCAGCTGAACCTCGTATGAACTTGAACAAGTCTCTACTAAAGATAGACATGAGAGAGGCAGCTCACACTCCACCTAGACTGATCCTAGAGAACAGTCGTGCAGCAGGGAGAGAACAGAAACCCACCTGGTGTAAAGAAATAATATTATGGAGGAAGATTTTAAAACAATATTTGTTATATTTGCTTGTTTGAAAATGGTGGGAGTTTAAAGATTTTGTTAACCCACAAGCTGCTTTATAACTTTATTTTTGTATGTATGTACAACAGGCACTGCACCAGTTGACTTTTTTATGGATGTACACCGAACAACAAATGTGAATAAACGTATAGAAATACAGTATGAAAAGGAAAAATCAAACAGACAAATGTGGCTGATTCCTCTTTTATTGCAATAATGTTGTGATCCGTGAAGCAGCTTTTTCATCAGTGCACAGCTCAAAAGTTACTCGTCAAAGATCCACCTTACTCTGACAGCTTCCTCTTTTATTTCTTTTGCTTTTCTTTTGTTCGTTTGTGGCTTTATGCAAGTCCTAGTTGACTGGAGGGGTGTATTTTATTTCTGATTGAAAGCTATTCTCAGCGTATCTGCCTATATAAAATTTCAGCTTTGGGATTTGCAATGCCTTTTTCCTGAGCTTCCACATCCACACTGTGCTGATCTGAGTGCAGCGTAATCCAAACGGAAGGGAGACTGGAGGAGTGTGTGTATTATGTGTGTGTATTATGTGTGTTGAATTACCAATAGATCAGACAGAAGCACATGCAGCTTTCTTTACTGTATCTCTTTCTTTCTCCCCCTCAGGGTCATATTTATTATTTAGTTTTGAGTTTAACCTCCTAGTGTTTTGCACACTGTATTTTACAGTAGCCTGGTTCATTTAACTTTCCTCCCTGACACAGTAACATTGTTTGGAAGAAGACACAGCACATTGTGTAGACCCACTTTATGGAACAGGGCTGTACTGCAGTATGTATTTCGGATTCCAGATATCAAGCAAATTGAGCATCTTAAAACAGACAGTGAATGAAGAAGAAATACATTCACTAACAGTACCCTTTGTTTAGAGTGAGAAAAATAATTGTCTCTGAATCTTCTCTGTAGTACAAATTGGGCCATTTAACTTTAAATCAAACAAAAAATTGTAGTAAAGCAGGGTTCAGATTTCAGATGTGGTTGTTTTCACAGTTGCTACAGTCAAATTGAGCTACGGTATGACATCTCTTTGCTACGAGTTGATTACATGTTGTTGAATGGCCTGCATCCAACATAATTTCAAATCAACCATACACAAAATGTCTTTCTTATCTGCAAGCAGGGTTGATTGTGTTGGTAAAAATAAGATAATTTAGCTTTTTATTCTCTTTGATTGCTGACATTTGTGCAATTGCTACACAGTTTGCTGACACCTGCAATTCAGGTTTCAGTCTCACATATGCTCTTAATATGTGCCACGAGGAGAGTAATGTGAGCAGCTCATGTTCTTGGAACATAATTTAATGGATATCTTGGTGAGACACTGAACACTGCTCACCCAGATTGACTACATTCACTGCATTTTTGTAAATATCTTTCTGTTACCTTTTTGTGATGTGAGGGGAATGTGGTTTGTATCCATGGTACGCAGTGTCGAACTTACTGCTCTAAACTGATCTTCATGAGTAAAATGTCTTGTTGAATTGAAATAGCACCTTACCTGTGGTTGAGAAAGTGGCTATGGTTGATATCCAGAACCTTAGCTGTTACTGTTGCTCACACCAGCTGCGGATCAAATGGTCACCATAGGAGATGTTTGCAGGAACTGTCTTACTCTGACCTCTTCACCTTTCTTCCTCTGACATTTCAAGCTCAGCTCTTTCCTTCTCTATGCTGCTGAACTAATTTCTCCTCTGCTCTGGTCTCCCCTCTTTTTTTGTCACTTTTCTCCTCCTCTCCTCACCTCTCTCTCCTTCTCTTCTTCTCTCCGACAGAAATCAGAGTGACAGCCTTCCATACAGCCAAGCCTCTAGAAGCAAACAACAAAAATAGCTCCAGTTGTCCTCATAGGTCCAGAAACAGACTTGTGATGGCAGTGACTGATGCAAAATGACAAAATAAAAAGCATGCTGTTTATCTCGCAGAACATCTGTATTATAGTTTCACTTATAAATAATACATTTAATCTTCAACTGGAAACGATTTTAGTCCTGTTTTCTCTCTGCTTTGATGTTCTTTGAGATGTACAGCAACCTCACTGCTTGACAGACATCCAGCCCTAAGCTTGGTGGCTACAGTTAAGTAGACCTCAGTCCACCTGGGTTTTCTCCCATGAAGCAGGATTAGTGGGTCACTGTACCGTATCTATAACCTTGGGTTCAACTGTTCTTAGCTAGCCTGCTCTAAGAAGTTCATATTTTAAATCGAAACCTATATACATCCTGCAAATAAACTGATTGGCTCTCTGGAAAAGTCTCCAACCCCACAGGATCTCAGTGTGGACAAAGGTTTGGCTTTCACAATATCTTCCTGTGATCATAAGCCCAGATTGTACCAGTCTGTAAGCACAGACAACAGTGTAACAGTTGTGTAATTAATTGCTGTACAACTAATTCACCAAAACAAGGCCTCTACTATTTTAGCAAATAAAGTTGCACAGTGTTAGCACAGTGTTTTGGTCACACATTCAAACATCAAGCATTCTTCATTTCAGCCACAACAGTGTGGATATATTTTGATAAAATAAAATAAAAAAGTAATTCAATTTATTTCAAAATATTGATTCGTCCCTTTAGGGGTGGTTTTAGGCAAGCAAGCTTGCAGACACAAATACACGTAAACAATTCATTCACATTCACAAAAACAATCTTAAAATGCAAATATGACAGTGTTAGAAATAGTTGAAATAGGGTTAATGGAAGTGGCCAATACAACGCCGCCCGGCATCATTGAAAATCATGAAGGCACATTATGTCAAAAAGGCACTTTATCAGTGTGAAAGTTAATACATTACAGTAAACAAGATTCAACTCTATTAAACATCCATTAAAGTTAGCCAGGAGTGTGCTGCGCTCTTGGACAACCTCGTTATATAACCATGTCTAGTGGCTGTACCCAAGGCATGTATTCACAGGCCTGTGGCATCTCCTCTATCTCACATTGTTCTAACACTGTTACCCTGGTGACAGGTGAAGATAATCCATCACTGCAGTTTTATATTGACTGTTTACAGAGTGGCTTAGATATGCAAATGCAGTACAAGGTTACTGGACCTTGAGTTTTCAGTAAAATGCTTCAATAAGTGCAAATAGTTATTTCTGTTTTCAAAGAGCTGTTTCTTTAATGCAAAGTCAGTTTCAATCATTGCTCAGTGGAAAGTGTTTCTTCCTTTATTATTGCCATATAAGCATAACAGTTTATGTTCCTCTACCAATGAATAATCGTTATTATATTTCCCCTTTGTTTTTGTTTCCTTTAGGTAACATCAGAAACACAGAGCGGCTGAGCTATGACAAGCATCAGAGCTACAAGATTATGGTGACAGCCTTTGACTGTGGTCAGAAGAGAGCAAAGGAGGATGTGGCTGTGCATATTGATGTCAAGCCTGTCTGCAAACCTGGATGGCAAGGTCAGAGATAAAGAAACAGCTGCTGAAATACTTGCCTTAATTTACCTTGCAATAATTGACAGAAATGTACTATGTTGGTGTAAAGTGCACTGACATATTGTTTAAATGTACTTAAATATAAAGCAATACCATCAAAATTGAATGAGGCAGTTTAGTGCAGTTTCAGAGCAGATCCTTTCCCTCAAGGGACTTCTGTCTCATTTTAGAATGAACGTCTCTCGAGGAAATCAGAAGACCTGACAAAAACCTCCAGAGGGAAAGTTGACTGGATAGTGTGTTTTTTTTCCTCCTTTAACATGCTAGCAGCTTGGCATTCGAGTCAGCCCGTCTCCCCTGCTGCTTCACCTGTCAGCACTGACAGCATCTCAGGAGTCAAGCTCACACAGGAATGAAAGAGGACGACAGAGAAAGATAAGAAGGGAGAGGGGGGAAAGGAGGAAGAATGAGATAAAGAAAGAGGCCGAATGAAAAGGCATCTCAAGGGAGGAAAGAGAAAGTTACAGTGGAGGAGAGAGGTGATGGTTGTTCCTTTAAAAAAAAATCACAGATCTGGGTGGAGATAAATGACTTGACCAGGATATATCTTACTGTGCACTGTGTAGTTTGTAAACTATCAATCTACTCCAAAGCTATGGTTTTATTATCTGAAAACATGTTTTTTTTAACATAAAAGTAAGAAGTGCTGTTTTTAAATCCATGACCAGATTTCCCTCAACAGTTTTATTCAGCCACGTCTTATAAAGATAAACTGAGCCAATGGTGACACAAAACACTTAACCCACCTGTTCTTTGGCCAATTTCTGCATACAGTCAAACCCCTTTGGATGGTATGTAATTTTCTTAAGTAAATTTTGGGCATTTTAAACATTTATTACAGACAGTAGAGACGTTACGGTTCAGGGGTGGCGTCTTAACTCCTCAGCTGCAGGGGCTCTCCATGTGGAGGGATGGGGTAGAGATGAAGATGTGCATGTGTAGGGGTGTGAGTTTCAATATGTGTGGATGAAAGTAGAGGTGAAGGTGGCATTTACACTGGAAGGAGAGGGAAAGAGAAGTAAAAGTTTCCAAATGTAGCTGTGTCACTTAATTCTACCTCATCGATTATTTTGCCATATCCAAGCATCTAGAAGCAAACCATCATTAGATAAACTAGTGAGTGTCCTAGGTATAGAGTAGATCAGATTGTTTGTTTGAACAACATTTAAGGTACAAGTACTTTATTTTCCATTGTCATGGTGTAAATGTACATGATGGGTTTGTAGATGTTTTTCAGCTACCCTAAAGAAACTAACTCCACGTCTAATGGCATCATATATTTTGTGCTAGGATAAGAGAGGATAATTAAGTAGAAAAAAATCACCTATGACCAAGTCTAATGTTACAGACAAGATCCTTTAGTGCAAAGAGAGCACTTAATGAAAGTGAGTTGACTGCCAGTTGCTGAGGGAAATGTCAGTGCACATCACAGAGGGGTGGCGGTGCAGAGGGAGAGAGAGTCAGTATAGTGTTGAGAAAGTGGTCTGAAATGGCATTAGAACTTTTTATTAATGTCATCTTCATGTACAGCATAGCTCTGAGGGTCCATTCACCTTTGCATTTACAGAACATAGAACCAAATAACAGCTGGATGTTCTGCTTTCTCATAAGGAGAAAAAATATGCAATCATTTTTAAGATCCAGATCAGCACAGAGCATTATCAGCTCCCTGCATTTGAATCCCAAAGAAACACATGCTATCTTACCCTGCTAACATCCTCATCAGTGTTGCCTGATTCTTTGTGATTTGGCTCATGAAAGATGCCCTGCTGCATAATCCTGTGGCAAAGCCATTAACCCATAGTAGCTTAAAACCATGAATAAAACACAATGCGGTGATTCTTTGTACATGTAACCTTATTTATTGTCAGCGTGTAAAGGTCAGAGTGCTTCTGCTGCTCTTTTTTGAAGAAAGCCCCCTGGCATAAATAGAGGCTAAATACATCTTGCTCCACTTCACCTCTCACTCCTCCTCGCCTTCCTACCTCACAGTCCGTTTCACTCTTTGTGAATATTTGTCTCAGGAGACTTGATATCATATTCTGTAGGCTTTGCAAGAGCTGCCAGGTGTCCACCTACACACACAAACAAACATTCCTGTACACAGTTATGCTTTTGAATCCCTTTCACCACCACAATTCAGGGATTCTCGTACATTAAGGATAGATATAACACCTGGGTAATAGAAATATAACACCTGGCAGAAGGACTGACAAAGAGGGCAGCACCCCTCTCTACCAGGCCTGCCATGTTACTGGGCCCCCTCAGTCTCCTTTTGACTTGACCAGTGTTGGGCAAGTTACTCTGAAATTGTAAGTTACTGGTTACTTATTACTCCTTACAAAAGGAAAGCTATTACTTTACTTTACTAAACAGTGCTTAACGCCACTCTCTCCGGACATTCATGTCAAGGATGGTGCATTCAGTAACTCAGTAACGCAGCATTACTTGGATCAGTAACTGTAATATTATTACTGTTTTGGAAATAGTAATCCCTTAAACTACTAGTAATAATATTACAGTTGGCTAACTTTCACTGAGTAACGCATTACTGCCAAACACTGGACTTGACACAGGGCAAGATTTCACTGAGAAAACTCCAAGCACCAAAGTTGCCAGCCTGTGTGGTTGTCTGTCATTCTTTCAAGGCCCGCTTGCTCATTATGAAACCACCTACAGTAGAACATAAAGTTTTATTCCTTACATTTCAGTGGACTGGTTCAATAATGCTGTAAATGTGGAACAAAAGAAAAAGACAGCCCTTCTCACTATTGAATGAATAGCAACTACTGTTTATTGAAACATTTGAGGTAGAGTACTGAGTGTGGTGTTCTGCTGGGCAGGAGAAAAAGAAACTGACCTAACAGTCAAACAGAACTACCTTACGATGGGTAGAAATTGTCAATTTTGTTGTCACACCACAGTGAAACCACAACAAGCATGGTAATGATGCTTAGATATCCCAGTGTCCAAAAGAGTACTACCCTGAGATAAGGTCAATCTAAGTGAAATGGATGAACAGGAATATGAGATCTTACAGCAGCTGAATACATTTTTTCTCATCATGTGCCGATTTACATATAGTAACAATGATGTAATGTAGAATTTATTCCTTATGTAATGTGAAAAATTATTTCATTCAAATAACTAGAAAAGGCATTGACTGAAGCAGTTTTCACCATTGTTTACTATGTGACATCAGGTTACCTGTAATTGCAACAGGTGATACTGACATGAAATACTTACTCTAAACTACTAAACTAAATATGACCCTTAAAGGTTGGAACAAGCGGGTGGACTATGAGCCAGGGACTGGAAGCAAGCAGCTGTTTCCCAAGATGCACTTGGAAACGTGTGGAGGTCCCCTGTCTGGCGTGAAGGCGATGGTAGAGCTGCAGACCAATCACATCGGGAAGGGCTGCGACCGCGAAACGTACTCTGAGAAGTCTCTGCAAAAACTCTGTGGTACGTAGAGAGAAAGACAAAGAGAGAGATAAAGGAGTTTAATTAGTTAGTTTGAGTGGGAGGAAAAAACGATGGAATGAAATGTCTTGTTGGAATAGTGTGGTGCTATTTAGGAGTAGAGGACTATGAGAGAGCAAAAGGTAGTAATAATGAGACAAGGAGAAATTTAATTCAAAGAAGGAATTACCTCTCGACATCTCTGCAGTCTATTAATATGCCAATTTCTGTGCTATTATAATCCTGGAGACGATTTTGGAATTAATTTTTTATTTTAAATTAAATTTTCAAACGGTGTTCCACTGTGACATGTTTTCATGATTTCTTTCCATTTGTTCCCTTGAGCATGGCGTTGCACTGTAATATACAGTATACAGTACATGTAAAACAGACAACAAGAATATTCCTGTTGAGAACGTTAGTTAGAGATTTAGTGATGTCTTGTTGACACGTTCTAACACCTCATCATTATTTAAACTTCTCTAAAAAAAAAAAAAGACTCAATTTGAAATGTTATGTCAGACCATATTTACAATCATTATACTGTGTTGTGTAAATCAGTGATTTGCTCTCGCGTATTATAATTGCCATTTTATTGTATGCTCCATCGACAGGGCCCACACAAATCTTATTTTGAATTGAGTTAATGGTAAGGCATGTATGCAATGGAAATAGAATACAAGTTTCATGTAAACAGATCCATAGCGGCTATGTGAGAAATTTCCAGTCATATGAGGTTACAATAAATATACAAGGTACAAGATAGTTTATTGATCATTATACAGCACAAGGTTGTATATAACGAAAATAACGTTTGTAGTCCCTTCATGCTACACACACAGGACTTAACATATAATTAAATGTAACATATGGTAACATATAAAAAAGACAGAAACAATATATATAGTTATTTATACATATATAGCCTACATACACATATACACCCAGAACATTCTGCAGTGCATTTTTTGATTTGCATCTGGGGTGAATGTAAAGCAGCAATATGATATATAGATATGGTTTCATCTTCAAAAAAAAAAAAGTCAGACATTAGGGAAACTGTGCCCATCTTGACTGTGTTTGATCACCAAGCATCATCGATTACATATAAATATATTAAGGATTTCTAAACATTCACTGATTCACAGAGTTAAATTTGTATAATTCTGACATGCTCAAGCAACATTAGGTCATGAACTGATGCACTCACTTCTGGTACTCAGAGAAATCACAGAGAGAAAAGAAAGAAGCTATTTCTCTCCAGGTCAGTTCTCTGTGCAGCCGACCTGACAGTGTCGTATCTTCTGATTGGCACATCCAGGCGCAGCATCAGGCAGCACCGACCTCCTTCCTGCCCCCAGCCCTTCCACAAACTGGACGGCGTCTCTGCTGACTGACAGTGGCCGAGACAGCGACCTCATCTACAGATTCGACGGGCATCAGGCTGCAAATGTTCCAGACCACGTGGTGCCCCAAAACCTGACAGACCAGTTCACCGTGGCAACATGGATGAAACACGGGCCCAGTCTGGGGCTCAGAGTCGAGAAGGAAACCTTACTGTGTAACTCTGACAAGACTGGTGAGGAAGCAATTTCACACATGCTCACTGTTAAGAAGTACATTTCCACCGTCTAACATATTAGAGAGTTCGAATTTTACCATCTTTAACAAAAATTGTCAGTGAGTTTACATTTGACCTTTAGTTTTCCTACATTGTAGACATTTCTGCTTCTACTTAATCATCCATCCGTACCGTAGGCAATCTCAAATAGTTAAAAGGAAAACAGTAAAGAACAGTTAAAATCATTAACACTGTTATTCCTGAATGTTATTGAAATCTGTTAGTTCAGTAATTCAGTCTTTATTAAACCTCCCCCCTTTTTGCCCTTTGGTCCCTTGGGACACACATGAGCAATCTTCTGGATCATGTTTTGAAAGGGTTAGGGTACTGAAAACAACTTAATTCTTACTGAAACATTTTACACTTTGATTTCCTTTACATCCTCAGCATTAGAAACATACTATGAACGTCTTGTAACATGATCAAAAACATCCATTAAAAATAACAAGATCATTTAGCCAAGACTGAAGCCCACAATGGCAAAGACTCTTTGAAACTCGAAACTTTTCCCCCAATGCATAACTGAACTGTTTAATTAAGCAAAACAAGCCATCTGCACATTGCACATTCTCACAATGGTCTCACAGATGGCTTATTAGCTTAGGAGATGTGTAGTCTGATCTCGTAATGAAAACTTCGTGTTAGCGCATAAGAATCTTATAAACCCTTTTTTCATTTTCAACTTTTTGCTTAAGCATGTGAATGGTATCCGAAGGCTCAGTTTGAGGGCCAGATCAGCAATACAGTGCGTACAGTGGCCATGAACTGTATCCCATCATTCCTCTGGCTGAGCTTTGTGAACTTTAGGGTGGGTGATAGTGTATGGTCAATAAGGACTATCATGATGGTTGTCATAGTATTATCTCGATAGTAACGAGTCAGTCTAGTTACCAAATTGTTCCTAATTACGTCTTCAAAACTCACATTTTTCCCACTAAGTCAAATGTTTTTTAATATTTTACATGAAAAGTCTTTGATATTTTAATGTTAGTTCATTTAAACATTAGAATGAACCCTGATATCCTGATATGAGAATTTTGAAACAATACAATGATATGGACAGACAACTAATAATATTTGAAGGAAAAAAGCAAAAAAATTAAAGGGATTGCCTTTTTTCACATTTTGAATTGCTTAGAAATGGCTGAATGCACTCCCCATGACTCTTGTCATAATACATTAAATAATCTTTAGTTTTTAAAATATGACTTTGTCATGTTTTGATTTGCTCTTGTACAAGTATGAAATGACAAACAGCTCTGTTTCCATTTCAGCAATTTTAACACCAAAAAAACACCAATGCAAAAACTATGGGGGTATTTATGTTTCAATATTATTTGTGTGAACAGATGAGCGATCTGTGTGTAAATGTGTAATCTGTAAATATAAAACACTTTGCACAAACACAAAATGAAGATTTGTAAACTCACAAAAATATTTTGCAAATAGAAAACAGATCTGCAAATACATAAATAAAATCCACAAATAATAAAAATATCTGTGAATATATTTAATAGCTTACAAATAAATGAACCACATTTGTGAATATCTTCCTAACATTTACAACTTTCAAATATGCATTTGTGAGTCCAGTTTAAATTTACAAATTGTTGAAAAGTATTTGTCACTTTCAAACAGGCATTTGTGAGTCCCGCCTGTATTTGTCGATCTCAGTTCTTCACACACGGAGTTTTGAAATAAACTTTCCGCTGATGGAACAATCACGAAGGAAATATCAGCTGCTCTTTCAACAAAATGTGAATGCAGACTGAAATTCAACCGTGTTGTTGTGTCGGGGGAGGCAGCGATTCAAACCAGCGGTGAGTAAGAAATAGTATAATTATATAATATAACAATGTATTAAGCTATGAGCACAGGGAAAGTCCGCTAGCTGCTAGGCTAATTTCAGCAGTTTGAAAACGGCACAGGCTCTAGCTAATGATGGTGTTTAGCAAAAAGCAAACCAAGACTATGAGCCGAATGTTTGTTAAAAGTTAGTGTGGACTGTACTGAATTTACATTTAACCATATACTTTTTTTCCTAGTATGGCCTAAAGCCGAGTGGCCATCGATGGTAGTTCCTGTCCTGTGGTCAACACCAGCATCAAGAAGTGGACAAATAGAACAACAACAACAACAACGGAACTAAGAATGAATAAGTCCTTAAGATATAAATCACAGTTTAATGCAAACAATAGGCCTATAATGAAATCCTTTTATAATCCACCCCAAGTCTTGTTGTTTCTGTTTACATACAGAGGAAGAATGTGTGTAACGTTTTTACTGCGTAATTAGAGTATATGAGAACAGTGGACACTTACTAGGTTCCTCTGTACCTCATTTAACATTAGATATGCTTGATCCCACTTCATGTAGGCCATATGTGATGCACACAAAATGTATGGTCACATTTTATTGTTGTAATTTAACAATATATATATATTTTTGTAGCACTGAGTAGGCTATAAATTGTTAAAACACTGTTTTAGCATTATGAATATGTACTCCAGTAAGCCAGTAGGGGGCAGCAGAGCGCTTTCTTACGTTACTACATTACATTAAGTTGACAACATGTATATATCAACATAGATTCATACACAAATGACAAATAATCCATCTACTCATCATACCAACAAGCTGGCGCATTCAGGCAGTTCGGAGGCCGTTTTACCTTGAAATGTGGAAATGACGTCTTCAGCGGGCATAAGCAGGCATCATCACGTGGTCTCCGAAAACAGCCGAATGACACGAGTCGATTTTCGTTCCATTGGTGGAAAGTTTGTTTCAAAACTCCATGTGTGAAGAACTGAGATCGACAAATACAGGTGGGACTCACAAATGCCTGTTTGAAGTGACAAATACTTTTCAACAATTTGTAAATTAAAACTGGACTCACAGATATTTTTATTATTTGTGGATTTTATTTATGTATTTGCAGATGTTTTCTATTTGCAAAATATTTCATTTTGTGTTTGTGCAAAGTGTTTTATATTTACAGATTACACATTTACACACAGATCACTCATCTGTTCACACAAATAATATTGAAACATAAATACCCCCATAAAAAAACTGTCTTTGAAAGGCAAGCATTAGCTTATCACTGTGGAGTTATGTGGTATTTATAAGAAAATCTGTTGCACATCTTATTCCACCTCAAGCCTATTTAGTGTATTATAAAGGCAGAGCAAGCAGGACTCGCCTTTGATTGCCATCTTAAAGACACAAGCTGATAATCAAAAAATAGACGCTGGACCATTTCTGTCACACTGAGCTGACAGGAGTATAAATGTCCACCATAAGAAAACTTAAGGAGCAGGTGCATCAGTTTATTGTCCTCAAAGTAGAAGGTATAATCTTGTTTATTGATAGACTGTATAATGTAGAGTTATGTTTAACCGTGTGCATGTGTTTGTGTCTTTGTGTGGCCATGCATGTCTTCCTGCTACAGAAATGAACCGCCACCATTACTCTCTGTATGTTCACAACTGCCGCCTGGTGTTCCTGCTCAGAAGAGATTTCACTCAGGTTGACACATTCAGACCCGCTGAGTTCCACTGGAAACTGGAGCAGGTGAGGAGTGTGTGTGTGTGCGCTTGGCTGTGTCCTATTTGAGTGTGAGCATAGATTCAGGGTTATTTTCTACAGCAGGTGAAGGGCTATCATTATTTGTGTAGTGAAGGGAGAGGCTCTTCATTCTAATTACCCGAGGCTCTCCATCACTTTCTTCTGCTCACTACAGGAGATAAGATATCCTGCACACACACAAACACACACACAAGCATAAACCCAAAGTAGAAAGTCTGTTTAGTTATGGGTAATAGCTCACCTAGAAGTAGTATCTCTATTATCTGTCACACTTCTGGTGAGTTGTTGAACTAATTTGCAGTGAAGCTTACTGTTTCAGTCCTGCAAAGAAAGCCTTTGAAAGGAAAACGTTATATACACATGTATATGGAATATGAAATATCATGCATATGTACATAATAGTACTGTAAATAACCCTTAAATGACATAATGCACAGCCGGCAGGTGTTACATCTACATATAATGGTGAAAATTGAAAGTGTAAAGTTCTGTTTGTGCCCCCTCCCTTTAAGACATCACAATACACGGTCAGACCAGTGACTATGGCGCTGGATGGATTAAAGGTCTTGCTGAAGGACACCTCAGTAAGGCAAATGCTTGAATGACAATCATCAGGCTGAGGGAGTCACTCCAGCTAAGCAGGCAGTCACTGAGCAGAGAAAATCCTGCTGTAAAAAGAAAATGAAATCCCTGGAGTCAAAATTATTTTCATGATTAGCCAATGAACTCTCTTGCATGGGAATCTCCCCTTTCCCAAATCCCTAATAATGGATGGTAGATGCAAATCTAATTGTTTACCCTTGGGCACTGTATATATCCACCTCATACTGAAATGATTAGAAATGCTTCATAATTACAGCAAGCTCTCATGAGTTTTTGCTCACTAAGCAGATTATAACAGATTTGTGCTTGGGTCTTTCCGCGTGACCATGCATCAGCATGTGCATCCACCCTGGTGGTTACTTTTATTTTGGATTTTTGTCTGCCTGTTTGAATGGAAACTTACACACTGAGCTTACATTTCTTGCTTCTTGTTTGCATGCACTCTTTTTCCTTGTGTGCATACAAACATCCCACTGTGTTTTCTTGGCACTATCTCTGCTCGTGCTGGTGTGTACCTTCCAAGCAGGTGGTTGTTTGTTCTAGGTCAAAGGTAGATTGAAATGTTTTTCTCAGTCCAGTGTTCTTTTCTCCCGAGACCCACAGAGGTAGATGTGACAAAGAGAAGGGCAGACGAGTAGCAGACTGCTGAGTTTTCTTAGCAAACAACCTCTGTTCTATTTCTGTCTCGCGTCTTCTCATTCTCTCTCTCTCTCTCTCTCTTTCTTTCTTTCTTTCTTTCTTTCTTTCTTTCTTTCTTTCTTTCCCACACACAAATACAGTACATAGAAAGAGGGGATTCCATTTGCTCCTTTAGTTGGATCTTGAGAAGGAGCACGGAGGAATCATACGGTGCAGTCAAAGAGAATACGGGATGAGTTACTCACCAGTACAAATCACTAGTGCAGAGACTCTTAAATATAAATGAAATCTGGTCTGAAATACTGGAGGTTAACGAGAGAAATTACATCACTGAAGCATAAATGGACAAAGTGAAGGAAAAACCACTCTATTATATATACTCTATTTCATTAATGTGCAGGTTGTTGTAGCTGCCGTGGCTTAACCTTCTGTATCTACGTATGCCTGCTTGTGGTAGTAATTTCTTTCATTTAAAAAAAATAATTATTTGACGAATGTCGGACTGTGCATTGTTTTTACATGCAGGTGGAAAGCGCAGTACATCAGTGAAACTGGTTTAAAGAATGTTTTTGTGAATTTCCTTTGTTAGGAAAACATGTCTTGTGGCTGGCTGGATTGCATTATTGACTAATAGTTTCTGCCAAGGGGAAACTGTTTTTTTCTCCAATTGATGTAGGTCTGTGTTATTTTTAAATCTTGGGGCAAAATGGTGAGTTTAGAAAGAAGCCACTGCACTTTGAGTCTGAAGAACTGACATCGAAACCTAATGTGTGCCCTAAAGCAGCACACGGTGTTTTACACAAAAGAGAAGTGAGCACAGTGTTCTTGAAAGCCTTCGACAAATACTATATTCTGTTTGGATTTGTTTGCTGATGCCAGAAGGTTTAGTGGAACATGCGTTTATTTTATTTTAGCTTATTCTTTTATCTTAAATCAAGGACCGTCAATAATACAAACAGTGTGGTTATGGTTTCTTAGTTGTAATTCATAAAATCCATTGTGAACATTTATCAACAAAAAGCACAAAATCACTACTGAATAGTCAAGTTAAACAGATGTAGCTGCAAACATGTTATAAGCATTGGACATGAAATATTGATCAAATATTTGTCAGTAAATCAGCTTTTTTCTTTGTCAGGTAAGTTGCAGAATGCAGAGTTAGAAACTTTTTTGCATTCTGCTGTTAGATTAGGACTAGTACTATTTGTGTCACTCTCTTGCACTAATTTGCATTAGTAAAGGTTTGGGGCTGGCCTTTGGAGGACAGAGTGATTTAATCTCATGTATGAAGTGAGTTGTTAAACTGGGTATAAAAGCTGTTAAGTACTAGCTTTGGGAAGCCTCATTGTCTGAAGTTTTCGCTTTGGTTGTGATGAAGTTTATTTGTTTGTTCATAGATTTGGAAATTTTGAGGCCATGTTGGAGTTGGAGCTTTCCCTGGTAGGATGAAGGAATGTGGGATTTGGGATTCTTTCATAAAACCTTGGTAGAGTTGCAATGAACACGGTTAGAGCAGTTGTCTCGGGGACACATTCCTAGGCTCGAGGGGGTTGCTGTCCCAACTACCTGGAATAAAGAGACAGACCACAGCAAGATGCAAAGAACAAGAGAGGGTCCAAACCTGGGGCCATCACAACAGTGCCAGATCATAATGCAATGTAACATTTATATGTTTATTATTTTTATAATAATTATTTCATCAGACTTCCTGAATGAAGAAAACTGAACTAGCAAAATTGCGAAGCCTAGAAAATAAAGTGAGTGTGTCGTATCTAACATCTGTGACATACTGTACTACTACGAATTACATATTAATACTGTTGTTCAGTATTTCTGGTAATATTTTCTGGTAATGAGTTGCTACAGTACTTGTGGGGAATAATGAGGACGAGCTTAGAGAGTAGACTGTTGGAAAAGGAGTGTGGTGGACTGAGGAAAGAAGAAGAGGTGACTATGGGGTGTCACAGCTGCTTCTTACGTCCTTGTTCCTCCAGCACTTAGAAAGGACACTCGATGGCTTCCGTGGCAACTCCATTTAGCTGTATTGATTTTGCAATTCTCACTCCAAGAGAGGAGAGGCAGAGTGGGATGAAAGGAAGTTGGCAAAGAGAGAGAGAGGCTTCCATTTTCCACGTCGATCGAACACACTGAAGGAATGTCACATCTGAAAGAAACCTTTACACACGCATCTACAAGCACTGACTTATTTGTGGGTCTGTATGTGAACACAACCATGCACACACACACTCACACACACACAGGATGCCTTTTTTCCTTCCTCTTTTTCAGCCTGGGTAATGGACTAAAGGATGTATCACTCTTCTGTACGTACATTATTCACTTTCTCTGAGTCTCGAGAGCCTATCAGTTCAATCCAGCGAGTCAAAAGATACCCAGCCACAGTCAAAACGTCCTATACAAACAAAGATTCACTCTTCAAATGTCCTGTGAGCCCATGATTGTAGGAATGTGTCACAAATGCAAGCAAAGTCACACAACGCAGAGGGGATAAGGAAAAAAGTAAAAATGACAAAGCCACAAAACGAAAGGAGGTGGAAAAGAATAAGTCATTTTTCCATGTCTGGGCCTTTTTATACTATAACTACAGTTCAAGTTTGAACAGCTTTCTAAGTTTACCCAGCTTAGCGAGATCAAGAACAATTGTGTGTGTGTGTGTGTGTGTGTGTGAGAAAGAGGTGGCATTGATCTAAGCCCTTACAAATGAGGTGTTATTTACTCACAGCAGGGTCCTTATAGATAGAGCAGGAAAAATCTGTTAGAAGAAGGCTGAGAGTTGAGACAAATACACAGCATTTTTCTCAGCTGAGGCCTGAGATTTGAAAAAAAGATAAGTCAAGGGCCAAAGATTTTATTTGTGTTGCTGTTTCACATCAATCCAAGACAAATGTACAATTGACGTGCGGATAAACCTTCAAATTTCATCAATTACACTGTTCGAAACAGCTGCAGACCCCTTGCTATTTATCATTTATGTCTGAGTTCGATTAAAGGGACTGAATGTGGGTAGTACAAAATCGTCCTCATTGATTGTCTATGCACCAACTACAATGATCTGCCTTATCTGCCTGCTATTACCATGCTGTGTGCCATGGCATGTTCTCTGTCTTGCGTTGATTAGAAACCTCCCTTTGTATCTGAGGAGATTAATTGAATGGGGGTGTTGTACATGTGTGTGTGAGAGAGAGAGAGAGAGAGAGAGAGAGAGAGAGAGAGAGAGAAAGTGTGTATTGCCTCCCAGGCTTTTTGTTGTAGATACCAGGAGAGATTGAAGTGCTGAATTCAGAGTGATTTATTTCTCTCTCAAACACAAGAAAGTGACTGATAGATGCTGCAGTTCAGTTTAAAGTTATTTACAATTCATCGTATTACAAGAACTCACTATGCAGCATACTTTAGTATAAAAGAGCACAAGCTGGCAATGACGAAACACGCATTTTTCTCATCTCTGTAAGAGCAAAACAGAAAAAGACAGAGAGCAATAGAGAAGATATGGATCTATCTCTAGCATATCATTTTTCAGTGTTTATTTTATTTCTGGCTTCTGTTTTTCAGATGAACCCATTTGAGAGCTCAGCTGTACTTTGTCTCCTTTAGGCACTTCCTGTGTTACTCCTACAATATGTAGAGCTGCTGCATCTCACTAAACGTATGTGTCTTTGCAGTAGGGCTGAACAATACGCAAAAAAAAATTATTATTATTTTGACACCTATTGCGATTGAAT